GGCAGCCTCCCCGCAGGCCGCAAGGCCGGGACCAGCTGCGGCTCCCAGGGCGGCGCGGAGAGCGGGCCCTTTAAATCCCGGGGAGGCCCGGCCGGCCGGCTCAGCCAATGAGAGGGCAGGAGCGGGGCGGGGACGGAGGAGGAGGGGAGCGGGAGGATGGAGGGAAGGAGGAGCGGGAGGTTGAGAGGAGCGGGGCGCAGGAGGACGTCGGCTCGCGGAACGTTCATTCCCGCACCTTTCCAACCTCTTGGGGTGCCAGTCCCTGAACGTTCGTGTCGGGAGGGCTTCTGGCCGCCCGGGAACGAACTGTCCAATCTCCAAATTCCTAATCCTTGGAAGCCCAGATGGGGAGGATGGCGGAGGGAGGAGAGAAAGCTTGCTCCCCTACCCGTCCGCCTCGCCCCCGAAACTGCCCACCCGCGCAAGTCAGCTTGACGCCGTTGTGCCCCGGTTTCATAGATGGGAAAATAAAGCGCGGTCTCTCCTTTCCCATCCTTTGAGGGAGCTCTGGGAATTCCCAACCTTTCCCCCAACCAGGGACGGACTAGAAACATTCACAAGTACTGACTGTGTCACTTAGGAGCACGAATTAGGCTCCTGTGCTTTCCCCTCAGGACTCCTGGTGAGCATTTAGCTTGTCGTTGAGAACTGATTTGACTGCTAACTTCTCCGCCGGACTCACTCCTGCACTGAAGGTAACCCAGCAACTATTGAGTTGTCCCGGTGAACCAGGAGATTAGTACGGAGCACTGATTGGGAGCACTCATGAAGCACTTACAGCGTCCCCAGCGATGGTTTGTCTTGGGCTCTATCAGCACCAAGTCTGAGGATTTATGCAGCACCGGCTGTTTGTCTCTCCTACCCGGCTGGTGTCTGGACACTCCACTCTGTCCCAAGGCTGATGAAGGGCCTTTTCCCGGAGCATTTATTGGGCAAATACTACATACTTCGTTATGAGATAGAAGGGAGAAGGAAGCCAAGGTCAAGCTGGACCCCACCCTGACCTGAGGAACTAAGGAAAACAGGTTCTAATCAGATTGATGCCTGCCTGCATGGAGCTGGGCAAGCCATGCCCACTCCCTAGGCTTCAGTCCCCTTGTGTTAAACAAAAGAGAGGGATTAGCAGTTCTTTGCTTGGAAATACCAATGGCAATTGAAGAGAAATGTGTGTCTCCTCTCCTAAAAAAAAAAATAACGTGGTAGGGGTGGGTATAGCTCAGTGGTAGAGCACATGCTTAGCATGCACAAGGTCTTGGGTTTAATCCCCAGTATCTCCATTAAAAAATAAATAAACAGGGTGGGAAGGAACAGACTGGGATTTCAAAATGTAGAATAGATAAACAAGATTATACTGTATAACACAGGGAGATATATACAAGATCTTTTGGTAGCTCACAGCGAAAAAAAATGTGACAATGAATATATGTATGTTCATGTATAACTGAAAAATTGTGCTCTACACTGGAATTTGATACAACATTGTAAAATGACTATTACTCAATAAAAAATGTTAAAAATAAATAAATAAATAAATAAATAAATAAATAAGCAAACAAACCTAATTACCCCTCCAATTTTTAAAAAACGTTAGCATGAAGTTAAATGGAATTTTAACTCATAAATTAATATTTACGTATTACAAATAAAAACTATTTAACACAGTAGAATGTATATATCCGGTTGACCCTTGAACAACGCAGGTTTGAACTGTGCAGGTCCACTGACGGAGGATATTTTTCAGTGGTAAATACTACAATACTACACTGTTCTTGGTTGGTCGAATCCTTGGATGTGGAGGAACTGCAGATATGGCATGCCAACTATAAATGATATGTTGATTAACACCCGCCCCCCGTTGTTCAATGGTCAACTCTAATGAGTAATTACATAGGCCAGATGCACCAATACTAATTCCTTCCCTTAACAGCAGAATACAGGTCATACACTTTATGAATTAGACTTCATTCTACTTTTTTTTCCATCAGTTTTCAAACATACTCAAGTTGAGTCAACAGTGACCCACAGCACAAGCCAGAAATATTTCCCTCGGTTGCAAAATCTGGCATTTAAAACTAGGTGATCCTCACCAAGCCAGACCCTGAGCTTCACAGACTTGATTGTTTCCACCTAGTCTTTTGATTTGTGTGACAAAGAACTAGTCTCTAGATTCTAGGACATATAAAGGGTATCTACAAATCTATAAGAAAAGGACAAACAATACACTAGAAAATGGACGTGGACATGAATGAATAGTAATTCACAGCAAAAGACATCTGAAGTGCACAAGATGTATAATATATGAAAAGACTGCTCAATCTCTTTAGTTATCAGGGAAATGCAAAATTAAAACAACAATTAGATACACATCTACTAGGTGTGCTGTTTCATATTTCTACCGCTGGAACTTAGTGGAGAGTGAGCATTCAATAAATATCTGTCAGATTTTACAGCCTTTGTAGTCATTCTGGGTTATGGTTTCTAGGACATTTTAAATGGTCTCCCTGTAATTAAAGAGATGAAAATTAGGACAACGCGATCCCATTTTCACTTATTAGATTGGAAAGAAAGAAAGAAAGAAAGAAAAAAGAGCCAAGCCTCAAAATAATAACATATTTACTTTCTCTTTCTGTGTCTCTCTCCCTGTCTCTCTTTTTCTCTCAGTATCTATCTATCTATAATTTTTTCTTAAGTATTTGATAATAGTTGCAGGGGTGATGCCCTTTCAGTTAAATACTTCAGTATGAATTTTCTAAGAACAAGGACATTTTCTTACCTTTGTACCAGCAAAGTACAACTGTTCCGATTTCTCCACATCTTCACACTTTGTTATCTGACTTTTTGATTCTAGCCATCCTAGTGTATGCCAACACTGTTCTCTCCTAGGAAAAGGAAATCCTAGGTCACGAGCCGCGTTCCTTTATCAGGTCTTTTTGGTCCCTTTCAATCTGGAACAATGTCTCAGTCTTCCATTAACTTTCACGATCTTGATGTTTTTGAAGAGCACAGGTCAGTTCTTTGGAAGAATGTCCTTCAATTAGGGTTTATCTGATGTTTCCTCAGGATTAGATTTGGATTATGCATTTTTGGCAGGAATTCCACAGAAGTGACGCTGTGTTCTACTTGGTGTATCCAGAAGCACGAAGTATTGCTTAATTTCAAAATTGTTGGTATTAACTTTGATCATTCGATTAACGTAGTGTCTTCCAGGTTTCTCCTCTGTAAAGGTACTCTTTTCCCTTTGTAATTAATAAGTATCTTATAGGGACATACTTTGAGACTATGTCACTCTCCAATTTTTCTTCAAACTTACATTCACTATTTAGCATACATTGATGATTCTTGCCTGAAGCAATTACTACTATGATGGTGGCCAAAATATGATTTTCTTTTACATGTGTAGCTGGGATTTTACTGTGCCAAAGAGCTTTCTCTTCTTCCCCGTGTATTTATTCATTTGTTTATTTGTATCAGTATGAGATTCATAATTTACAGGTTAAAATCAGTTACTACTATATGTATTTATAAAAGTAGCTTAATTGAGATCTAATTTACATACCATAACTCAAGTTAGTTGTACAATGCAATGGTAGTTAGTATATTTATAGACTTGTGCAGAAATCACCACAATCTAACTGTAGGACATTTTGATTACCCCCAATAGAAACCTTGTGGCCATTAGCAGTCACTCCCTTTCTGCCCTTGACAGCCCTAGATAACCTCTAATCTCTTTCTAGATTTGCTTATTCTGGACATCGTATATAAATGAAATCACATAATAGGTCATCATTTGTATCTTGTCTCTGTCACCAAGCATAATTTTTAAAAACTTTGATAAAAATACATGTAACATGAAGTTTAGCATCTTAACCATTTTTAAGTGTATTGGTCAGTGGCATTAAGTATACTCACATTGTTGTGCAATCAGCACCACCATCCAGCTCCAGAACTGTTTTCATCTTTCCAAACTTAAACTCCGTACCTATTAAACATCAGCTCCCTATTTCTCCCTCCTCCAGCCCCTGGCCACCACCATGCTACTTTCTGTTTCTATGAATTTGGCTACTCTAAGTACCTCATGTAAATGAAATCATATAGTATTTGCCCTTCTGTGACTGGTTTATTTCACTTAGTACAATGTCCTCAAGGTTCATCCATATTGTAGCATGTGTCAGAATCTCCTTTTTAAAGACTGAATAATATTCCATTTTGGTGTATATGCCACATTTTGTTTATCCAGCTATCCATTGGTGGACACTTGGGTTGCTTCCTCCTTTCAGCTATTATGAATAATGCTGCTATGAACATGGGTGTACAGATAGCTCTCTGAGTCCCTGCTTTCAATTCATCTGGGTATATATCCAGAAATGGAGTTACTGTATCATACGGTATTTCTACTTTTAGTTTTCTGAGGAACCACCATATTGTTTTCCACAGTGGCTATACCATTTTACATTCTCACTAACAGTGCACAAGAGTTCTGATAAGTTTAGCCTCACCAACACTTGTTATTTTTTATTTTATTTATTTATTTTTATAGTAGTCACCCTAATGAGTATGAGGTGGTATCTTACTGCAGTTTTGACTTGTATTTCCCTAATGATTAGTGAGATTTAGCTTCTTTTCATGTGGTTCTTGGCCTCGATGATATATATTCTTTGGAGAAATGTCTATTCAAGTCCTTTGTCCATTTTTAAATGGAGTTGTTTGTTGCTGTTGTTGTTGAGTTGTAGGGGTTCTTTATATATTCTGGATATTAGCCCCTTATCAGACAGATATATGATTTGTAAATATTCTTTCCCATTCCATGGGTTGCCTTTTCACTCTGTTGATTGTGTCCTTTGATGTGTGGAAGTTTTTCACTTTGACCTAGCTAACTTACCTATTTTTTTTGTTGCCTATGCTTTTAGTAGAAATCCAATCCAATGTCATGAAGCTTTCACCTATGTTTTCTTCTAAGGGGTTTATAGGTTTCAG